GCCCACTGTGCTGCGTGAGGGTGCGAGAGAGACGGAGCGGCAAACCGCTCTCCTGAATCGCCCGGCAGCCAATCTGAGCGACCAGCGGCCGGAAGCACCGGGCCGCGCGGGGCTGCGTTCGAGAGTGAAGCGCCTTCCTCTCGAGCTCTCGACCGACTGTCGATATCTCGAACGCAGCATGGACGCCGCGGCGCGCGCGGCACCCAAGACCGCGAAGCACTTGATGGCGTAGCCCGGCGCCATCAGCATGGCCAAGTACGGCCGGCACGAGGAAGGACGGGATGCACTTTTTGCAAACAACAACAGGCGCGGATCCAAGGGGGGGGCGATGGGGGCGTCGCCCCCCCCCCCTGAAGGCGGCGAAGCCGCCTGAAAGGTAGGCAAAAAGTCGCACATTACCCCTGTAGGTAGGCAACTTTCGCGACATCCCCCCCCCCCCCCCCCTGAACCCGTCCCTGGATCCGCCCTTGAACAACAACAACAACAACTCGAACTTTTGGGGCCGTGTACACGTGCGGGCGAGGGCGGCAGTTCAATCGGGACATTCAGTTCCCGAGTTTCCCCTCAAACATAAGCAAAGGAAACAAGGAAACTCATAAAGTAAATACAATCAGTGATTTTGTTTCCGAGAAAATGTCGCCAAATGTGGTCCCGCTGAGGCGATGCTCAGTGGGCTAGAAGACGGGTAGAGGCGGACAAAACTCCAGCCGCGTTTTGAGTTCCAGGGTGGCTAAATCGGACTCGAACCGAGCGAGTGACCCCACCAATGGACTCCTCGTCTGGGGAGCTATCCATTGGTGGGGTCACACGTTCGGTTCGAGTCCCATTTAGCGACTCTGGAGCTCAAAACGCGTCTGGAGTTTTGTCCACCTCCACTGGACCACCGTGCGATGACCCTCCCCTCCGAGGCACGAGGCACTACCGGTCGCACGGCCCGAAGACTCCCCGCCCTTCTGGCTGCGTCTCTCTGCGGTCCCGCACACTCATTCCGAGACACGATTTCCTCGCTGTCTCTCTCGCACCTCGCTCCACGGGCGCGAGAGAGACAGAGCGACGAGAACGCCTCTCGGAATGAGTCCGCTGCGGTCCTGCGGTCTGGTCGCGGCCAAACTTGGAGTGCAGTTCGCTTCCCTGACCTTCCGCAGCACAGTGGGCCAGAAGACCGGTGGAGGCGGACAAAACTCTGGACGCGCTTTGAGCTCCAGAGTCGCTAAATGGGACTCGAACCAAACGTGTGACCCCACCAATGGATTGCTCTCCGAACGAGCATTGCTCTTCTAACAGGCCAGGTAATATCGAAAGCTACACACCGTAACTACAAAAAGTCAAATTCTAAGGACCAAATTTTATTTAATAAACTTTATAAGCAAGCGAGAAGAAGGCGATTATTTGACAAAAATGTCATTACACGGCTGATAGTGTACAATGAGTAACTTTTTTTTTCTTGTTGGATGTTTTTCTTCTTCCTTTTCGCGTGCCTTGTCTGGAAAGGGTGTGGGGGGTTCCTCATGGGCTAAGACGGCAGGCCCCGCACTAGCAGTGCACTAGCATGGCGCCAGGAGGCGACACCATTGTCCTGCCTAATGCCAACAGCGTAGGCTCCGTCAAAGGAACATTCCGCCTACACTGTCAACAGCAGCTAAATCGATTCAGCAAAAGCAAAAAACAAAGTTGCAAATACACAAAGCAGCTGTCGGTACAAAAAAAATATGCACAATTTTTGGGGGACAAAATTTGATATTTTTAAAAATTTATTTAATCTACAATTTTTGCTTGTTTTTTACCTGGTAGGGTTAAGAGGAAAAAACAAGCGAGATTTCAGACCCGACGCGAGCAATGCGATCGCCAGAAACACGCAAAACGTGTCCGACTCTCTCGCCGTTTAGGAGCGCATGACAAACAACAAACAGATCAAATCTAGAACGGTGCCGGCCTCGCTCCGCCGGCGCCGCAAATCGCACCGAAACGCCATTCAGCTCCACAGAGAGAGACAGAGGGACAGAGATCGAAAGTGCAGTCCGGCCGGCCAGCGGCGATGGCGGGACAGAGATAGCGAGCGGACACACAATGTGGGCGGGAAGGCCATCGCGATGGTTGAGAAGGGCGGATTTGCCGTGAAGCAGGTGGCATACAGTGGAGGACCTGGCTAGGTTTTTTTCAAAAAACGCTCGAATCGAACGTGTGACCCCACCAATGGATTCCTCGTTCGGAGAGCAATCCATTGGTGGGGTCACACGTACGGTTCGAGTCCCATTCAGCGACTCTGGAGCGCAAAACGCGTCCGGGGTTTCGACCGCCTCCACCGGTCTGCTGGCCGGCCCACTGTGCGACCTCGGCTTTTCCGCGAAGCAGCTAGCTGAGGTGCCGGTGGGACGATTATCCGTTTGCATGCTCCCGGAACGCACCGCGACGCACCGCCTGCTGCACTGCAAGTGCCACAAGCAGCGTAGCGCACTCGGCTTTCTCCTCCACTGAGTCATAATGGCTAATGAATGAGAAGGCTGTGCCCTGCCAGCCCTGCACCTTGCCTTGCCAAGTCCCTAACGAAACCCGCCCCCTGCCCCTCCACCCCTCCGTACCCTCCCGGAGCCGGCGGGGCCATGGTGCAGCCGGGAAACGGTCTCTCCGCGCGCCGAGCGCTATTTTCGGTCCGCAAAGCGTTTAATGAACGAGCCGGGGAATACATTAAAACACACACACACTCGCACACACACATATATGCACGCACGAATCAAACAGAGAGCACGCACAGACACACGCACACACTTGCAAAGGCACACGGCACACACAAGAGGATACACATCCTCGAAGCACCCATATCCCCCTTTCTTTTTACACACACACCCTTAAAACCTTACGAAGTATTTTGAGCCTACATATAACAAACTAAAATACTTTGTTATACGAAGAAATAGTTCGTAAATTACGAAGTATTTTCTTTGTAAGCTTACGTATGCTCAAAATACTTTGTTATACAAACTACTTTTCTTTGTAAGGCCCAAAATAGTTTGTAAGGTTTTCTCAGTGCACAGACGCGCGCGCGCGCGCGCGCGCACACACACACACACACACACACACAAATGGGTGACGGACCAGCCCGGCGCTCGGTGGGCTGAATCGTTACCAGCGTCCCGTTGGACTGTGCTGCCTGGCGGGGCAGGATTAGTGTCGCTCGACGAAGCGAGCTGCGGACCGATTCCGAGGGTCGTTTTCGTCGCTCTGTCTCCCTCGCACTCACGGGGCGTCCCGTATAGGTGCGAGAGAGACAGAGCGACGACAACGACTCTCGGAATCGGTCCGCTGGTCGCGATGCGAGTGCGCACCGGAGCCAGAGGGACGTCCGGGCGAAATGAATGGCTCAAATCAAGCGGTGCTCGAGACGGTGCGAGATAAGCGAGGCGGCCGGTGCGCGGGTTCGAATACCGGCACCGCCTCGCGGTTTCAGAGTGGGCCAGAAGATCGGCGCAGGCGGCCAAAACTCTAGACGCGTTTTGAGCTCCAGAGTCGCTGAACAGGACTCGAACCGAACGTGTGACCCCACCAATGCATTGCTCTCCGAACGAGGAATCTACTGGTGGGGTCACACGTTCGGTTCGAGTCCCATTTAGCGACTCTGGAGCTCAAAACGCGTCCGGGCTTTCGGCCGCCTCCACCGGTCTTCTGGCAAGTCCACTGTGCGTTTCCCGTTCCCGTCCTTTCCCAATCAAGGCAATGTCACGGCCTGACCGGGCCTGACCCACATCAGCACCCCGGGGTGCTGCGCCGCTGCGCCTCCACTGGCAAGGCACCGGCAAGGCCGCCTGCAACGACTGCGACACCGAGGCCGGCTTGCAGCGGCTTGCAGCAGCAGCAGACCGATTCCGAGAGTCGTTTTCGTCGCTCTGTCTCTCTCGCACTCATGGGGCGCCCCGTATCGGTGCGACAGAGACAGAGCGACGAAAACGACTCTCAGACTGCAGCGAACCGCTTGAACCACTCGTCGGTTCGGTTCGGCCGGGCCGAGCCGACTCGCCGAGCTTTCGGCTCGACTTCGGCACACTGCGGCTCATTGGGCTAATTGCCCGGCCCTCGGCCCGGCCGCAGACTGATTCCGAGAGTCGTTTCCATCGCCCTGTCTCTCTCGCACCGACACGGGACGCCCCGTGAGTGCGAGAGAGACAGAGCGACCAATCAGTCGGCTGGCCCTTCGCCCGTCCGGCCGGTCGCACGGCTTGATTGAGTCACAGAGTCACAGTCCGCCACGGAGAGGATGAGGGAAGGACACCGTAGAAAAATTCGCAACTCAGAACGGAAACAGCGCGCTGTAAGCTATAAGGACGCGCAACTGTTGCAAAATTTACACACGCGTCAAAAACGACGTAAAAGGGAGGCTAATTGGAAGTCTGCAAGAAATATGGACGGGAGTGCATGGCGAAACAAGAGAGGACGAGACGAGCGGCGCACAGTGGGCCAGAAGACCGGCGGAGGCGGCCGAAACTCTAGACGCGTTTTGAGCTCCTGAGTCGCTAAATGGGACTCGGACCGAACGTGTGACCCGACCAATGGATTGCTCTCCCAACGAGGAATCCATTGGTGGGGTCACACGTTCGGTTTGAGGCCTGTTTAGCGACTCTGGAGTTCAAAACGCGTCTAGAGTTTTGACCGCCTCCGCCGGGCTTCTTTCTGGCCCACTGTGCGGCGTGCTGCACGGGGTGCGGCGTCGCCGGCCGGTTCCGGGCGGGGGGCGAGGCGGGGCGGGGCACTCTTTCCTTCCACACGACACCGCGTGCTCGGCGTGCACGTCGACGGCGACCTTGGGGGCGGCGGGGACGGCGGGGTGGGGGCGGCGGCGCGGTGGAGGGGCGGGGAAGCGCGCCTCTCCAGACCGCTGTTGTGGCGGCGCGGCTGCGCGGCGCGGCACGGCAGTCATTCCCCGAGTGACAGCCGACGCGGAGCTCCGCTCCAGCACCAGGTCGCCGCCGGCGGCGTGACCGACCGACGAACCGCGCCGCGACCGCCGCGTCACGACCAGGACGCCGTCGACGCCGCGAACTTGGATTACCAGTGCAGTGCGCGTCCACGGAGGAGCAGTGCTTCGCAGTGCAGTGACCGCCACGACGACGACGGCGAGGCCGGAAGCATGCACAGGCCAAGCAGTGTGGGGGCAAGGCAGTCTGCGGGGTCCCTCCGCGGGGCGCCCCGATCCAGGCCCTTTTGCATGCCGGCCCGCCGGCCGCCGCGCCACCGCCTCGCAGAGCTCGCAGCACTAGCCTCGGCACTAGCCCTGACATAAGGCATTGCATCACGAGGACAGACCTACGCCCTGCTGCACGGCCCTGTAGTAAGTACGCGCACAGACAGACAGACAGACAGACAGACAGACAGACAGACAGACAGACAGACAGACAGACACACACACAGACAGACAGGCAGACAGACAGACAGACAGACAGACAGACAGACACACACACAGACAGGCAGACAGACAGACAGACAGACAGACAGACAGACAGACAGACAGACACACACACACACAGACAGACAGACACACAGACAGACAGACACACAGACAGACACACAGACAGACAGGCAGACAGACACACACACAGACGCGCACGCATGCACGACCGCGGGCGCATTCTCACACACCCGTTGCACATACAAATGTCCGCTAAAACACCGTGGAAGTTGAATCGTGAGCGAGTGCACTTCATGAACGTGCAGGACGTCCGCGTGCAAGGAGGGCAGCATTCAGCCGGCAGGGTGGGGCCAAGGGGGCTACAGTGGGCTAGAAAACCAATGGAGGCGGCCAAAACTTTAGACGCGGTTTGCGCTCCAGGTCGCTAAATGGGACTCGAACCGAACGCGTGACCCCACCAATGGATTGCTCTCCGAACGAGGAATCCATTGGTGGGGTCACACGCTCGGTTCGAGTCCCGTTTAGCGACTCTGGAGCTCAAAACGCGTCTAGAGTTTCGGCCGCCTCCACCGGTCTTCTGGCCCACTGTGGCTGGTCGTGCCGCCACATCACTTCATTACGATTCGAGGCAGCGGTCGGACCAAAGCGGCCGAGGCGCCCAACAACGCGGCGACACCGAGAGGGAGCAATGCTAAGCAATGCATACGGGAATTGACCTCATTGTCATACCAAAGGTCGCTGGCGCGCCGCGGCTCGCATTGTACGCGACGGTACGCCACGTTGCGTCACGATTAACGTGTAGAGGCGGACGGGCCGCGGTGGGCGGGCGGGGCGGGGCGGGCGGGGCGGGGCGGGGCGGGGGCGGGGCGGGCGTGCGGGGCGGGGCGGGGCGGGGCGGGGCGGGGCGGGGCGTGGCAGCGTTTTGTCACCGCACACGCAAATTGTCATACTACGCTAGAGAGAGATAAAAGTAGGGCAGGGAACGCCAAAATCTGCGTCGCTAGAAAGCAGCGCGAGTCCCGACCCGCAGGCGGACACACCTATACTTAAGTTTTGCATGTTGCTCATAAGTTTCAGTTGCCAATTAAAGATTGTTAAAAATCGAAGAAAGAGCAAAAAGCCTTGTGAGAAGCGTTGGATGATGCCATTTAGAGCTGAGGGTAGACGGTAGAAAAAGGTTCCTGGTTTTCCCAGGAACTTCCTGGAAATCGTCTATGTCTTTACCATAGGCTTCCTGAGAAAACCAGAAACGGTTTTTACCATGTAGCCTACACTGAAATGACAGTGTGTATGAGCCAGAGTGAGCGAGATTTCTGACGTATTTTCCACACGTGTTGCCCACTCACAGGCGTTTCAGCCACCCGAATGCGTTCGATTTTCGCCAAAAGAATGTGGGAAGCTGTTCCCTCTTCGGGTAACAGCATGACCACAACAGTACTTGACTAGATGCGTCTTCTGATACTGACACGCCGCGGCGCGCGCACTGTAACTGCGTATAGTTTAATCCGGCCTTTGCCCCGGGATGCGCAACAAATCGACTGCTATCGGCGATCCAGCACACTGATTCCGAGATTCGTTCTCGTCGCCCTGTCTCTCTCGCGCCTGTGCGGCACGCCCCGTGAGTGCGAGAGAGACGGAACGGTGCCGACCGGCAAATGCCAAATGCCTGCGCCGTCTCTATCTCCCCGACGCGTCAAATCGATGCGTCCCGTAAGACCCGGAAAATGGAAAACATTTCACATCCGTCCGTCCGTCTGTCTGTCCGTCCGTCTGCCCGTCCGTCTGATCGTTGAGTCACAGGCAGCCCTGCTAATGGGTCGTCGAGACGCAACACGCCCTATCCACACTCTGGCGCGGCTCTAGCCGCACTTCGACTCGCCGCAAAGCCCGCGCGTCGTTTCGATATCTCGAAGGGCGCCTCGACGCGCGCCGCTCGCGCGCCGCCGCGGAGTGCGTTACAAAACAAACGCGGCACAGTGGGCCGGAAGACCGGCGTTGGCGGACAAAACTCTAGACGCGTTTTGAGCTCCAGAGTCGCTTATCCCAGCCCCCAGTTGTTGCTTTCCGCGTGTCGGGTCCTTAAGGACTCTATCCGCCGTGGGTGCCGTGTGGTCGGGCGGCCCGGCCAGCCACTTGCAGTGGCAACAAACCCGCAATGATGAGGCAATGCCAATGCTGCCGACTGCAGCAACCTGCTGCGGAAAGATCCCCGCAACTGTTGCGGCGTCGCCGTCAATTGGCCGCTTTTTCCCGCGCTTTTTTGTTTTTGTTTTTGTCCCCCGAGTTGTCAAACGGGTACCGGGTGGCGGGCCGCGGCGGTGCAGCGGGTTGCGGAGGTCAGGCTGCCGAGCCGAGCCAGCGTGCTTCGGCTCGGCTCGGTTAGGTTCGGTTCGGTTTACTGACATTTCTTCTCACAATTTTTTGGCCAAAATTCATTGAAATTCAAGTGAAATTGATTTGATTTGCACATCGGAATTCAAAGTCATTTCCCCTTAACTGCGAACAGGCAACAAAACGCCGTTCTGTTGGACGACCACCCAGAAAGAACAAGCAGGTCAAGGCCAACGTGCCAAGGAGGTCAAAGGATGTCCCTTTGACTTCCGAATAACATTTTCCGCTAACAGTGACTTGATTGGGTGTCCTTCCTGAGCACCACGGCCCAAAGCAGCCGAATAATGGGGGTTTCCCTCTCCACGACAAGGCACCCCCACTCCGAAACGGGGTAAATTGATTCCAGCCGTGAAACAACCCGATCTTGGCAGCCGAAAACCCGATAACGGCAATAGCGGCCCGTGGCGCCACTCGGCCAAAATTATGGGCCGCGGCCAATGGCTCCGTCTCTCTCGCACTCACGGGGCACAGTGGGCCAGAAGACCGGTGGAGGCGGCCAAAACTCTAGATGCGTTTTGCGCTCCAGAGTCGCTAAGCAGGACTCGAACCGAACGTGTGACCCCACCAATGGACTCCTCGTTCGGAGAGCAACCCAATGGTGGAGTCACACGTTCGGTTCGAGTCCCATATAGCGACTCTGGAGCTCAGAACGCGTCTAGAGTTTCGTCCGCCTCCACCGGTCTTCTGGCCCACTGTGCGGGGCGTGCCGCGCGGGTGCGAGCGAGACGGAGCGACGAACCAAGCCCCATCACAACACGCTGGCGTTACGTTGGGGGGACGACTGGTCCTGCGACTTCGATGAGCAGGCCAGCAGCCACCTAGGGCGCAACACCGCCTGGAAACCTCAACAGCGATGCGATGCCCACGGCCCCTTTTATAATGTCGCCTAAGTGAGGCAATAGGCAATCTCTCTCTCTCTCTCTCTCTCTCTCCATCCGGACTTCCCTCTCCGGCGTGCTTCCGTTCCGCTGCAGTCGCCTGATTCCGCGGGTCGTTTTCGTCGCTCTGTTTCTCTCGCACTCGCGGGGCGTTCTTGTGGGTGGGAGAGAGACAGAGCCTCGAAGGCGACTCTCGGAATCAGTCCGCAGCTCTACTCGTGTTTGAGCAAACCATTCGAGCCTCGTCGAAGCGTTCGGACTACAGCAGCCGACTGATTCTGAGAGTCGTTTTCGTCGCTCTGTCTCTCTCGCACTCGTGAGGCGTTCCGTGCAGGCGCGAGCGAGCCAGAGCTACGACTCTCGGAATGAGTCTGTAGGGCCTTCTAACGAGCGGACAAGGACTCCGCGAGCGGTTCGGGGCCTTGAAGGTGCAGCGACCCCGTGCGGGATCAAAGCCCTCTTCCTGGCCAGCCGGCCTGCCCGGCCTGCCGGCACACTGCAAGACCGCGCCCAGCACCGCGGGGCAGTAGGGCAGTCTGCAGGGCGCAGGACGCGACGCTGCACATGACAGACAAGACCCCGGGGGACTAACTGGGACCGACGAGGGGACCGATACGGCACGGCCGATGATGTCGATCTGGCACGAGTTGCGCCACGGGCGGGGCGGGGCGGGGCGGGGCGCGCCATGCCGCCACACGGCGCGGCGCCGCGACGGTGCCCACCGTGTTGTCATTCCGGGCGACCCGCTGACCTCGCGGCGAACTCGCGGCCCGGCACCAAAGTGACGACGCGCATTTCGAGGAACGCCACCGTGCGGGTTTCCGGTTTCCGGTGTGATGGGGAAAACCATCGGCGCGGCCAATCAACGGTTTCACCATCGCGACGACATAAAAACAAACACAAACGGTGCAAATCGACGCTTCACAATGGGCCAATGGATTCCTCGTTCGGAGAGCAATCCATTGGTGGGGTCACACGTTCGGTTCGAGACCCATTCAGTGACTCTGGAGATCAAAACGCGTCCGGGGTTTTGAACGCCTCCACCTGTCTTCTGGCCCACTGTGCGCTTGCCGCCTCTAACGACCCCGTCTGCTTGCAGGGCATGTTCCTGACGCTGCTGCCGCCCTTGGCGCTGCTGCTGGGGCCGTGGGGGCCGTGGGGGCGGCCCGTGCTGGCGCTGGGGGCGGTGGTGCCGCCGTCCTGGGCCGACCCCCGGCACAACCCCTGCGCGGCGCAGCCCGGCGGCTGGCAGCTGCTGCTGTGGCCCGGCGACGGCCGCTGCTACCGCATCTTCCGCCGCGGCCACCCCTGCCCGCCGCACATGGAGCTCACCCCCGGCGTGGGGCCGGGCGGCGCGCCGGGCTGCAGGTGCCCGCCCGGCACCGCCGTGCTGGCCTCCGCCACGACGGCCAGCACCGCCAGCAACGCGACGGGCACGTGCTACCCGCTGCTGGAGCAGGGGCCGTGCCCGCGCGGCCAGTACCTCGCGCCCGTCCCCGCGCCGCCGGACTCGGACAACAGGTGAGCAGAGTCCTAGAGTGGGTGAGCAGGCTCAGCCTGCAGGGTAGGCCACCCATCAGGCACCCTCGGCGGCGGCCACGCAAGTTGGGCTGCCTACCCACAGGCGCCCGCGCTGAAACTCCCCGCTTAAATGGGTGCACAGTGACCCGGTGGAGGCGGTCAAAACCCGGGACGCGTTTAGAGGTCCAGAGTCGCTGAATGGATCTCGAACCGAACGTGTGACCCCACCAATGGATTGCTCTCCGAACGAGGAACCCATTGGTGGGGTCACACGTTCGGTTCGAGTCCTGTTAAGCGACTCTGGGGCTCAAAACGCGTCTAGAGTTTTGGCCGCCTGCGCCCGCCTCCTGGCCCACTGTGGGGTGCACTGTCAGGCGCAGGTTCGAGCCCCAGCGGGGGGTCGGGTTTGGAACCTCCCAGAGTTACCCACCACAGCTGATCGAGTCCCCAATCTCAGCCCGCGCCTCGCGGCCGCAACGCACTGACGCCGTGCCGGTCTTGTCCTCCCCGCAGAGTGCCGCACCTGCTCGCGGCGTGCCGCGCCCCCGACGCCTGCCCGCCCGGCCACGTGTTCTGGGCGCGCGACGGGCGCTGCTACCCGCAGCTGACGCGGGGGCCGTGCTACCGCGGCGAGCTGCTGGTGGCGGGCCGCGGCCACGGCGGCACGCCGACGACGTCCTCGGCCACGGCCTCGACGGCCACCCCGCTGGGCGTCTGCCGGTGCGAGTCGCGCGGCGAGCTGGGCCGGTACTTCTCGCCCCTGACCAAGACGTGCCACGAGCACTACACGCCGGGGCCCTGCCAGGAGAAGGGGCTCATCTTCCTGCCGCCCAGTGCGGCCACTTCGGCCACTTCCAGTGGCGTGGCCGGCGCGCCGCGGTGCGGCTGCAGCGCCGACCTGCCGCACTACCACCCCGCCACGGGCCAGTGCTTCCAGATCGGTACGTACACTCTAAATATGGGGTGCCCAGCAACTGGGTGCCTTTGTCGCCCGCCCCACTTTTTAGGGTGCCAAATGTCGCCCAGTTTCTGGGCACCTTTGTCGCCCAGTCTCAGGGTGGACAAATCATACAGTAACCGGCCCTCTCCCATGGTAGAGCATGCTCAGGTGTCTAGATCCTGGGCGACTAAGGTGCCTAGATTCTGGGCACCTTCGACACCTCAGTCGCTGCTGAGCCATGGGTGAAGGCAGGTTTCTTAATGGTTTGTCCACCCCGAGACTGGGCGACAAAGGTGCCCAGGAACTGGGCGGCATTTGGCACCCTAAAAAGTGGGGCGGGCGACAAAGGCGCCCAGTTTCTGGGCACCCCATATTTAGAGTGTAGCGCCCCACTACGCACCACCCAACTCTGTTTCTCTCAGACCTGCACTTGCCGCCCCACGCAAATAACTCCAGCCAAATTTGTACACCGAAATTCATCAAACTTGAAAAATTTACTGAAGTTCATTAAAATTTAACGAAATTTGATTGAAATTCATCGAAATTTGACTGAAATTCGACTAAAATTCATCGCAATTTTACAGAAATTCGTCGCAATTCGACTGAAATTCATTGGATCAGTACACCGAAATTCGCAGTGATTTCCCCTTGGTTCGAACCCACGCCTAACAGTGCCTCCGTTCCAGACACGATCGGGCCGTGCCCGGCTGGGCAGCGCTTCACGACGCCGGGCAAGCGGTCGGGCCGGTCGGGGCGGCCGGGGCGCGCGCAGTGCCGCTGCAAGGGCGGCCACGTGCCCTGGCCGCGCCCCGAGGCCGTGGACGCGGCCGTGGACGCGGCCGTCGAGGCCCAGACGGCGCAGGCGCTGACGGCGTGCTACCGGCCCTGGACGCGCGGGCCGTGCCCCCAGGGCCAGCTCCTGTCCGACGCCTCGCAGTGCGTGGCCGCGCCCTGCCGCCCCGGCCGCCTCTACTTCCCCGACGACGCGGGCTGCTACAAGGTGGGCGTGCGCGGGCCGTGCCCCAAGGGGCAGGTCGTGCTGTTCGAGACCGCCGTCCGCCCCGCGCTCGAGGGCATCTCCTACCGCGGCATGTGCGGCTGCACCGGGCCCGCCGCCAAGTCCAGGTAAGCACACTGTACTACACTTCAAGGGCGAGGGGGATGCACAGTGGGCCAGAAGACCGGTGGAGGCGACCAAAACTCCAGACGCGTTTTGAGCTCCAGAGTCGCTAGATGGGACTCGAACCGAACGTGTGACCCCACCAATGGATTCCTCGTTCGGAGAGCGACCCATTGGTGGGGTCACACGTTCATCCATTGGTGGGGTCACACGTTCGGTTCGAGGCCCATTTAGCGACTCTGGAGCTCAAAACGCGTCCGGGGTTTTGGGCGCCTCCTCCGGACTTCTGGCCGCCTGTGCGCCTGAAAGGTAGGCAAAAGGCCATACTTTGCCGCTGTAAGTACGCAAATAGTACCCCTTTGCCCCAAAGATCACCTCTAAGTCCGCCACTGCTACATTTTTAAATAAAAAAAATTCCAATGCTAACGCATTGCACGGTGTTCCGGTTGTGGAAATGAATTTTAAGTCTGTCGTCTAAACGTTAATTACGTTAATTTTACCGTTATTTACGTAACTTTGAATCCTACCGGCATTTTTACATCCCCAAACCTGATTCAGTTAACACAATGACCATCTCAGTCCATCTCGCGATCTCGCGATTTACAGTGCTCATGTTCGTCAAACGAAAGTCATCCGCGTTCCGAAACCACCTCTCCCGAGTTTATTAAGTTCGTCAAACCAACGTCGTGCTGGTTACAGAATTGAGGAAAACATCACAAGAGAACCGCAACCTTTAAAAGCAAGCCAAACAATTCAACCTCAGCAACAATGGAGGGGCAGTTTCAATGCGCGACTACTCGTTTTTTCAGCCTCGCGATTTTCGAAAGGGCGCAGACGCCGAGAAAATTGTTGCCAACCCCCGACGATTAATTTATTGCGTCTTTTTTGCTACGGACTTTTTACTGACAGACTTCAAAGATGTTCCAATGTCGAGACACCGTGCAATGCGTTAGCATTGGCATTTTCGAATTTCACGGCGTTTTGATTTCTTTTTATCGGCGACTTTAAATTTTGACAGTTGGTACGATGACACCGTGTCGTTGCCATGGAGACTTTTTTTCATGTTTTAACCATTTTCTCAGAACACAGACGATTTCTTGTCACTTTGGTGAGGCAGGAGGTTTAGTTTTGGGGAGTAGCACATTTTGTCTTTGAAACGTTTCTGGAAAATGTGAAGGGATAAGGGTGCTTCATTGTTGCAAATTTATGTTTTTGTCGTTTACGTTAAATTCTTACGATAAATTTTCGAAATTTTCAGGAATTCTTCATTTTTTTATGATAAGGAGTAATTTGGCGGGAACCATTTTTAGATTTGCGTCGGCGGAAGAAAAAATCTGAGCCGTCCCGGGCAATAGGGGTCCTCCTTCGTCGGAACCCCTAAAAATTCTCAACTAAGTGAATATTTTTAAAATTTTTCTATACGTCAACAGCTCCAACAACATCCCTGGAAAATCCATGGAGGACAACAGGTGTGGTGGAAACAGCCCACCCACTGGTGGCGCAGCAGAAGACAAGGACATGGCAGGGGTGAAGCGCAGTGCCATCGCGCCCAGGACCGAGCCAGACTGTGAATCCAAGTCCGGTGCCATAGTGTTCAACGGGAAGTGCTACTCGCTCTACTCGCAGGGGCCCTGCCCCCTCGGCCAGTGGCTGGTCCCGCAGAGGAGAGGGCGAGAGGGGAGGACACTGACTGATTCAAATCCAAATTTGGAGCTGTGGACCGACCCGGAAGCTCGGCCTAGAGCTCGAGCTAAGTGCGACTGCCGGCCGGGCCACAAGCCAGTGTGGGTCCCACAGCCCAGCCCCAGTGGGAAGAGCGACAACTCTACGTCAGTGCTGGAGTGCCAACCACCCACCGTAGTGCTGGCCTCTTTCCTCAACGCAAGAGGTTTCGTGACAGTGTAGGAACATCTTTGTCCACTGCGTACTTAGGAATGGAAATTCTTCCAGTGCCCTACGTTTCTTTAAGCGTACACACTCTGTGATCAGCATCAAGCACATTACCATTGTAGAATAGAATGCTAAATGTGATGATACATTACTGTCTACAGTAATGGAAGAGTATTACATATTGTAATAGAACAAATTAAAGATAAGGGGAAAAAACTCGTTAAATTGATTGCTTGGGTGAAAAATTCTACAAAGTTAGAATGAAACTTTCACTTGAGTGACGATATGAGTTCTTTCCTCTTTGAAACTGCTTAATGGGGTCAGCAAAAATTCACTTTAATTTTTTTATCAAATGAGATGAACCAATTTCAAGAATCATTTGGTCATTGTGTATTTGTTGAGCTTTTGGACCCCAAAGCAGTGCCACAAGTCATGTGCCAAAAAGCATCATGAAAGTTCATAAACTACTTTTGTGTGACAGCCTAGTCAGAAAGATAAAGTTCAGACTATCATAAAGCTCTAGAGATTAGGAGCTGAGGAAAATCAAAAATTCTTGTAAGACTTCTATAGACTAACCCAACTCAAAAATATTTGTTAAGACTCACTCGGCAGCAAAGTGTAGGTCGTTGATGGCCTTCTCCAACTGCTTGATCCTGCTATCCCGCTCACGTATGTCGTCACTCAACATTTGGACTTGCTCTGCTCGTTCATCAGCTGTTCGCTACAAAATAAATCAAAAATACAATTTATCTTGGTGCTTAAAATTATTTCTGAAGAGAAAAACAAACAGAGCAGATCACTTACAATGAGTTCGTCCTTTTCGTTTTCCAGCTCATTGATGGAAGAGTGCAACCTTTGAACCTCAGAGCGTAAAGCGTTGGCCTCCTTCTCCAATGCAACTCTGTCGAATTCCAGCTTTTGGATGTGTTCTTGCTGGTTTACAGCGTCCATCTGCAGTCTGCCCAAGTCATTTTGGGTTTGTTCTAAATTTCTTTGTGTTTCTTCAAGTAGAACTCTAGAGTGGTTAACAAGTATCAGAGGAAATTAGTATCAGATAAAATTACAGTCAATAAAGCAATTTAAAAATATGGAGCCTTACTTCATTTTCATATGATTTGCATTAGCTTGACCCAATGAGTTCTGGAGTTCAGCAAGACGAGTTCGTGCTGCCTCTGACTGGAGTGTGGCAGCATCCAGTTGCTTGGTGCGATTGGCAAGTTGAGACCGCAAGTCAAGGATTTCTTTATCAAATGTGCGCGAAGCATCTCTCCCATCAGCTTCAAGGGTCCATACTCGCTTTTGAGCATCGTGAAGGGCATCAACAACAGACTGTGGCAACATGAGCAGAAAGAGCATTAGCAAACACGTATTTCAAATTAATTCTTGGCAAAAGGCAGATAAGGGAGGAGGCTGATTTTAGCAGAGCGTCATGTGGCACCTGGAGGTGATCTCGGGTGGCATTTCGTTCAGCAATCATCCGCTGGCAATCATCTCTAGCATCATATCCATCTTTTTGCAGCCGCCTCAACACCTCCTAAGCAATGCAGGAGGGTTGGGGATAGGGAGGTGTAAGGAGAGGTAGGAAGCTTTCAATTCATGAACACTTACCATGACAGATTGGGGAGGTTTATCATAACACATTTTCTCTGATGAGCTAAACATTGTAGAAGTTTTCAGAGTGTCAATAGTTTCTCGAAGGCGTTTGTTTTCTTCTTGAAGTCTCTCCTTCTCTCTTTCTCTTTCACGTTCAAGGGTTGAGTCTGATCCTTTCTGTCCACGTAGAATATCAATTTCAACTCTCAGAGAACGGTTCTCTTCTAGAAGTCTGTCTTTCTCAACATCCGCAGACTTCTTCACACGAAGAAGATCCAACTCAACTTCAAGAGTGTGAAGTTCGCTACTGAGGCGTTCTCGCTCATGTGTCTCCCTCTGAGCAAGTAATCTTAAAGCATCTCTTTCAGAAAGTAATGAGTGGTTTTCTTCACACACAGAGAGGAGTTCTCTCTCTTTGGCAATAAGTCTTTGCTGGACCTCTGTGTACTGTTAACAAAGGAACAAGTATTAGAAATGGAAATCGAATGAAAATATCACTTTTAGAAATGCAAGACAATTAATTAAAATAATTGATATAAAGAAGCTAACCAACAGCTAATTGAAATCTACAATTCTAATGCTCATCCATACAAAATAATAAAGTAAAAAGGGGTAATGAAAAGATGAAAAAAGGGCCAGGAGATGGTAAACTGTTACTATGACAACAATGGCTTTTTGACAATGGCACTGTGCTCTGGTTCTAAATAAGGACTAAACAGAAAATTGCAAGATAATTTGCTGCTAGACAAAATTGATGGGTTTTACCTTTTCAGCCAAGGCACGATTAACATCTGAATGGGAACGACTATCTGCAGCTTCACATCTGTATACTGCGGAGAGGTCTTTGAGTTCTTGATTCAGTCTATGGTTCTCTGCTCTTATGGCATCAAGGTCTGCATGAGCCTCTCTTAGTTTCCACAGCAAATCAGTGCTCTGTAAGAAAAATTTTAGAACACATTAGATTTGACAAATAGGTGGAGAAGAAGAAAACAGAAAGAGAATCAAGACAAGAACTTTTAAGAGCTGTTAGCACTTTAGACACTTACCCCAGGTTTTTCTGGCATGTTGTCCAAATATTCTCTAATGCGATGGTATTCTTTTTCAAAAAAGTTTCTCTCTGCTTCAAGAGTTTTAATAATAGGACAGAGATCTGGAGGCGTCTATTAAGATAGGTAAAAGAAAGTAAACATTCATATTCAATTTTCAAAAAGGTAAACATATATATTTTATTATTGCACAAATGCAGGAAAAGATGACTACACTGGAGATAGATGTATCCCTTGATCAGCTTAAACATTACATTACAGAAAAAGAAGAAAAAGAACCCTCTAGTACATACTGCACAAAGACAAACTAGAAAAATTAACTCACAAGCTGCCAAAATATTTTTAATTTTGTGGCTCTTTCTTTTTAAGTATATCACAATTTTTATACCCATTAATATAATTAGAATAATCATTAGAAATCATGCTGATTCTGCTCCTGCGGTTACTGCAACCACTGGAACTACTGCCCCGAGTGCAACTTGAGCCATGCTTGCGCTTTCCACATAGATTTGCGGCAGCTGACTTCCCCTATAGTTAGATGCCATTAAACAATATATTGGACAGCAGTTGAAGAATGAAATGCAAGATGGATTTCCACTTACCTTCACATTCCAAGGCCCATCACCCGCCCCATCCATGCAAGGGTGGCTGTGGGGGTAACTGAGACCGACTTCACTCTGAATACCACGGTCCACCTGTTAAGGGACAACACAAAATAGATTAATACAGTACTCGATTTTCTATTATCATTATTGGGGTTTTCGTCCTCTTGCCAGTGCATCAGACAGAGTCATCCCCTTCAGTTCCACTGCAGCTTTGAGACTGAGAAGGTGGGAGTGGTATGGGATGTGGGTTGTAACATTGACTGGTCTGGGTCACTGGTTTTGACCGCCATGGCTTCTGTGAGAAGATTTTGTCACACAAACTCATGCAGTCATCTACACAATTCTGCACAGTATTAACATAGCAACACTGACCTTTTGATTAGGTTGAGATCTATCTGATACAGGATCGTCATGTTTCTTGCTTCTGGCATTGTCCTTTGATCTTCTGTCCTGATCTTTTCTCTGATCCTGGTTCCACCTTTCTGAATCCTCTTCAGCATACCTACAAAGAAAGTTAGAAAACATGGTCAAATTGATGGTCACATGTACAGTTTGTAAGCAATTCTACATTTATTTACCTTTCAGAAATATATTCATCAACCTCTTCATCTCTCCTTGTTTTATGATGCTCTCTTCTTCTTTCCTTTCTGTATTCTGTTTCCCTGTATTTGTCTCCTTTCTCACTGGCATAGGCTTGTCTCCTACCCTCGACATTTGCATCATCCTGGTTGTTGCGATGTTTACCGGGGCCTTCACTGCATTCACTATAAGGATAATCTGATTGTCGTGAACCCCTGCGCTCAGGCTTGTTGGCGTTCTCTCTTTCTGGAGGTTCATGGTAAGTCTCACGTGGAAGATTAACCTGTTAAACAACAAATCATTAAGAAATGAGGCACTCATTTTTGTTTGTTCAAGAGAAAGATGATGAGCTAAACAGGCAGACAATCTCACCTGAGTTTCTTTTGAATCAATTCTCTTCACATCTGTTTGAATTGCAGCACTACGGTTGGTTGGACGCACCTGAAGCAAAAAGAAATCAATAAGCTTGAACATTCTAGCGGGGGTAAAATACAACATCCATATAGCACCTTGGAACTGCATCACTTACCTTGGCGTTGTCCCCAGTGGAATTCTTGCTCGGTCCACTTGTGGCGCCTGGCTTTTTTGAAACCAACCCCTTTTTCTGGAACACAGAGACACAGAGACCAACAGCATTAGAACCAAAAGAATATGTCACATGTTGATTGGATAACGTGCGCCTGTCAGCAGAAAGGGGTACCAAAATTTGAGATTGGCAGAGGGGTGGGGGAGGTGGGGGTGGCAGGGGGGAAGGCAGGGAAGCCCGCCTGGAGGAGGGGGAGGGGGTGCGACCCCGCAGACCAACCCGGCCATGGAGCGCGGGTGGAGGAGACGACGCGTAGCTCACAGGTCTCAGCTGCAACCAGAGTCAAACACACAGCATTGGCAGGGAGAGAAAACGAAAAAGTCCAGCCCCGCTGCTGGGGATTTGAACCCGCGACCTGCTTGCGGGTGCCGACGGCCGTGTCTTGGGTCGCCGCGGACGTGGAGGAATGGCGGCTGGACGCCCTGCTCCGGCTGCTGGACCTGGTGGACCTGGTGCTGGCTCTGCTGGCCACGGCGCGGGACCTGGCCCGGGACACGGCCCTGGACATGTTGCCCGAGCTGTAGCCACTCTCCGCCTGGAGGCACACAGACGCAGCGTGGGGCGGGGCGCGTTGCACAGTGGGCCAGAAGACAGGTGGAGGCGGCCAAAACTCTAGACGCGTTTGGAGCTCCAGAGTCGCTAAATGGGACTCGAACCGAACGTGTGACCCCACCAATGGATTGCTCTGCGAACGAAGCTTTACCGCCAGGCTGCGACGGCTCTTGGCCGCACTCGGCACGGACACGGGCACCGCCCCCAGGGACGGGCTGCGCTCCAGGGCCTTCCAGGGGGTCTGCGTCGAGTGCGAGTCGCACGCGGCGCCGCCAGGCGAGGCCCCTCGGGGGCAGTGGGCGCCGCGGGCAGCTCTGGGGGAGGACGACGGGGACCCTCGCCGCACCGCCTGGACGAAGCAGGCATCAGGATGGCCCCCGGCGCACAGTGGGCGAGAAGACCGGTGCAGGCGGCCAAAACTCCAGACTCATTTTGAGCTCCAGAGTCGCCAAACAGGACTCCCCTCGAGCGTGTATGACCCCAGCAATGGATTCCTCGTTTTGAGAGCAATCCATTGGTGGGGTCACACGTTCGGTTCGAGTCCCATTTAGCGACTCTGGAGCTCAAAACGCGTCTAGAGTTTTGGCCGCCTCCTCCGGTCTTCTGGCGCACTGTGCGGCGGCCGGGCCGGCCGCGGACTTCCCTCGCGGTGGCGGCCGTCACCTCGGCGGCCTCCTCCAGGAGCTGGTCCCTGGTGAGCGCCCTGGCCGGCGCGGCGGCCGCGGTGGCGTGGCCGCGGTGCGCCCGCCCCGCGTCGTTGTGGTGGACGCCGTGGACGTCGTGGACGTCGTGGACCACCCACCCGGACCGCGAGGCGCGCGCAGGGACGTGCGGGGGGTCGCCGTCGTCCGCCCTGGCCCGCAGCGCGCGCTCCCTGCTGTGCAGGCGGTGCCGCGGCCGCCGGCCCTGCCCCACGGACAGCAGACCGAGAATCGTTGTCACTCTGTCTCTTCAGAGAGACAGGGCGATGAGAACGACTCGGAGGACGCAGCACAGTGGGCCAGAAGACCGGTGGAGGCGGCCAAAACTCGAGGCGTTTTGAGCTCCAGAGTCGCTAAATGGGACTCGAGCCGAACGTGTGACCCCACCAGTGGGCTGCTCTCCGAACGAGGAATCCATTGGTGGGGTCACACGTTCGGTTTGAGTCCTGCTTAGCGACTCCGGAGCTCAATACGCGTCTAGGATTTCGGCCGCCTCCGCCGGTCTTCTGGCCCACTGTGCGCAGGCTGCACCCACGTCGTCGCGGTGGAGGTCGTCGTCGTGGTGGTGCCTCGACCTGCGCGAGGGCAGCGCGCCCACCGAGGCCCGCGACATGCGGCTCGCTGGGACGTACGGCGACGGAGGGGGTGGCCTGGACTGTGCAAGGGGAAATGGAAACTGGGGCGGAGCGTTGAAAGCAGCCGACAGAAAGTCAACTCCCCGGAGAGGCCACAAGTACCTTCTGCCTGTCTTTGTCATCGCGATCCTGAGTCCCAACAGTCGTGTCTGATTCGCTGCTGAAGCTAGCAGACAGACACTGAAAGCACGTATCAATAGGAATCAACATGGTTTACAACCTCCAGGAAGCCCTCTTCTTGGAGTGGGGGAATACCTTTGCCTCAGGGTTGCATGTGGATTCTGTGCCAGAACTGGAGAAGGACTGTGAAGAAGGTGTGGCTGAAGTTGCCTCAGAGTGAATCTTGGTAGAGAGCGTACAGGGGCGGGGGATAAACTCTGGAGATGTTGCCATGTGACGGACGACTAGATGTGGTCTGGAGTGTAGCTCCCAGTCGGCTGTTAAGCTGCTTATTGTGGTGAGCTAGACCGAACCAATTTTTAGGGAGGGTAAGGGTGAAAGAAGATTTGAAACTACGCACACTCTCAGATGTCTAACACTGATACCTGTCGTGGAGTACGCCCACGAGGAGCACGAGGACCAATATTGTTTTCTTCGGAAAACTGTGTGTGGGCATACTGGTGATACAGAAAAAAAGCAAGCCACTTAAATTTGAACCAAAAGCCTGATTCAACGCAGCTATGGACATAAAACAAGCACAAGCGTACCTGTCCCTCAGCTCGAGGTTGCCTACCAAGCTCACCACAAACCTTAGCGCTTCTTTCATCAAAGCATGGAATATTCTAAGAAGAAATAACATTTTCAGAGTTACTATTTTAGATAGACTGGGACACCGTAAATATTGCCAATGGTGCTTGGATACCTCCTTTTTTTTATTTTCAGGGGGCACTTCAATAGTTGTGGTTGTTGTAGTGTGGGATGTTGGAGTGGGGCCATCAGTCGAAGCAGATAACCGCTCACTCGACATCACAACAGAGAGAGTACTTTTTGTGGGCTGAAAGAAACAATTAATCCAAACCATGAGCCCTTAAGAACTCACAGCAAAATGTAAAGAATTCATTTGCCTCTCTTTATATACCTGCCCACTTGATGAAGTGAATTCACTTGCTTTCTGAGATGCAGGAGATCGAAGAGATATAGATTCAAATGGTTCAGATGCAGATTGACTGCTGTGACGACTCAAAGACGACTAACAATGAGGGGGAAAGGGATTTCCATCAGATGGGTTACCAAGGTTAACACAAAAATTGTGGGGAAGTGGTGAAATATTACCTCTACATCAATAAAAATGGGTCGTTTTGATGCACATTCTGAATCTCTAGTGACATCAGTTCCAGAACGAGTGCTGCTTGCACTGCTGTAGGAGAACATTACCCCCTTTTCCTTTGGTAAAATATGACCTGTCTGACAATGGTCTAAGTTATCATGCTAAGACATAAACTTATTGAAAAAATGAAAAAATTGTAACAGCAAAGCACAGAGAGTGCTCACCTCATCTGAGTTCAAGACTGATGAAGATACTACAAGGGTGGGTGAAGTACAGCTGTTCCTCTAGATTGAGAAATTAAAAGTTGATGGAACGATTTCAGTAACGCTCAGGTATAATTTCTTATTGAAGTGCAATGTACCTTGGTGCTACTAAATCTTGAAGATGCAAAGCTAGAAGACTTTGGTGTGTTCAAAAACGTTTGATTCTTTAAGTACCCCTAAACAGTCACAGAGCATCAAAAACAAATCAAACAGCCAGGGAAAGGAAATTTTTCAATACTCACTGTGGTTTGGTTTGAACGTCCAGATCCAGAACTTGTAGATCCTTTTGATGTACCACTACCAGTGCCCTTGTCAGAACGAATGTCCCCATTTGGTCGGCTGTGTGAAGGACCTGACATGGATGTGGCCACTTTCTCCTCAAGGTCTGCTATTTTCTGTTTCTGATAGGTCACAGCAGCAACCAGATTTTCTATTTCCTTGGTTAACTCTGCTTCTGTAGGCATAAATAAAAGATATAAAGATTCATATTTCCACCATACATAAATTCAGTTGACAGCCTTGTTTCTAGAAACTCACCAACATGCTGATATCGTGAAAGCTCAACTCTGTCTGCCTGCAGATGAGATTGAGCATTACTTAGCCTTTGTGTTTCTAAGAGCTGCTTATTTTCTAGTCTTAATTTTTCTAAGTCCATCAAGAGATTTTGGACGTTGCATCGTGCTTCTACTCCACTTCGTTCAAGCTCAGCTACCATCTTCTGAGACTGTGTAAGTTGTTCCTAGCAGACAGAAAATTTGAAGAAATGTTTCAGGGGAAAATATGATAAGATTTTTTTTCAGGAATACAAGTTTTGATGTTACCAAAAAATCATACTTGTAAGTCAATAATTCTCTGCGCAGTTTCCTTGACAGTATAGTTACAAGAATCTTCCACCCGCATTGCAACGTTGTCTACATTTCTTATTTCAGCCTGAAGAACTTGATTACGTTCAGCTAGCCGCACAGCCCTCATCATAGCTTCATGCTGTTTTCTTAAAGCATCTGTAAAATAATTCTTCAAATTATTGAAAATTTGTATGAAACAACAAGAATGAAGGGTCAAAATTTTCTTACCTTGAAGTTGTGACCGCAAACTCTGGTTTGAGTCTTCCAATGAGCCAATAGCTGCTCTTAGATTTGCAATAGTGTAATCATCTCGCATAACTTCAGGATCCCTTGCAGATGCATGGCTTTTACAACTATCTAGCTGAGTGTGAAGTTTGGCTATGTCAAGATCACGGTCCCGAACCTGAAAATATATTATATGCTCAGAGCTGCCATAAATAGGGGAAAAAAAACTAAGAATAAAATTAAAGTATACCTGTTGCTTCAGAGAAGATATGGTCTCATTGAGCTTTTCGCTTTCTTCTCGTAACAGTTTCATTTCATACCGACATGCTCGAAGTTCAGCCTGTGATCTATCCACCATGTTGACAACAAAGGGATCTTCAGTTTGAGTAAGAGCTCCACTAAAGACATCGAGCCATGGCCGACCAGGGGGTTGCTTCTTGGTTGGGCCAACTGATGAAAGTATTTCTACTTTGGTTTGTGCAATCTTCTTTTTCCCTACATTAATATTAGGAAAAAAGTAATCAAATTAAAATAAATAACGGGCAAAATTTGTTGAGAAACCAATAAAAATGTAACAGCTGGGTAGTAATAATAGTTTACCTAAGGACACACTTGGGGCACTTTGAAGTTGCAGTAGCTTTTTGGTCTTCTCAGCAGACTCTACCTCTAGTGAACGAATGCGAGCTAAATGCTGACTAACTAAAAACTGAAGATCTCCATTTTCTTGCTCCAATTTCCGACAGCGTGCTTTGGCATCTGTAAAGATAAAACAAATAAAATTTCACAGGCTCAACCCTACTATAAAACCATCAAATGGAGTGGACTTTCACATACCGAGAACAGAATTATTGGCCTCTTCTCTGATATGTGTGACCTGTTGGTTTAGTTCTGTGATTTGTCGAACAAGGCGTTCATTGTCGTTTCGAAATGGTTGCACCCCACGGTTCAGAACACGAACTTGCTGAAAAATAAAATAAAATCTATTACTATGTAAAAAGTTAAAAAGAAAAAAAAGGAAGGCATGTCAGTGGCGTTTTCAAAACAGTTCTGCACTCGAAATCAAAATTATCTCTCCCCCTAAGTTTTTGAAGGCAGGTGCCTTACCGCCAGGCATTTGATCGTAACCCGTTTCCGGCCTGGCACAAGGCCCTCTTCCGGGGTCGCTGCTTGCTGTGCCTCACCGCCCACCGCGAGGCTAGAGAGGGAAGGACGCCGGCCTTCCGAGGAGATGGACCTTCGCGGTGGTGCTGGGTTCGACTCCCCCGACCGCATCATTTTTTTTCATATATTTTTTAAAATTTTGAGTTTTTTGGATTAATTTTGTTTTTGAGACGAAATTTTTAAACGGTCGCGGACACGGGCAGCCTACTTCCGATGATAGTTTAGATCTTCCCTTCCCTATCCGCTGGGCGCTCCCAGGGCAGTGGGGGCACACGTGGGGAGACACGTGGGGGACACGCTACATGCTCCAGCATCACGCTGTCCACTCCAGCCAGTTAGACCGCTGGAGGACAGGTCCTTGGCTGCGCTGGCTCGCTGGAGGCCTGGAGGACGGCGTCAACGCGGCGGGGGCGGCGCGGGCGGTGCTTCCAGGCAGTGGCCACCCCGCGGCCCTTCACTGGAAGCACCTCTGGAGGCACTGAAAGCCCTCCAAGGCCCTGCGGCCCTCCGCGGCGACTTCCAGCCCACGCCGAGTCAAGCCACTCCACATCGATCCGCTACGCCCCGCCACGCCGCGGCGCCGGGCTACCGCGCTACCGCCAAGCCGGAGACAAACCGCACACCTACTCACTCAGGTACCCGCGAGCGGCGCCGAGCAGCGCCGCGAGCAAGCCAACCCCCCGCCCCGTGCCCTGCCGGCATCTGGCATACTTGAGCCAACAACCACACAACCGCACAGTGGGCCGGAAGACCGGTGGGGGCGGCCGAAACTCTAAACGCGTTTTGAACTCCAGAGTCGCTAAATGGGACTCGAACAAAACGTGTGACCCCCACCAATGGATTGCTCTCCCAACGAGGAATCCATTGGTGAGGTCACACGCTCGGTTCGAGTCCCATTTAGCGACTCTGGAGCTCAAAACGCGTCTAGAATTTTGGCCGCCTCCTCCGGTCTTCTGGCCCACTGTGAACCGCCGCGGCCGCAGAGCCGCAGACCGCGCCGTGCTGCCGGCTGCACAGTGTGCACACATACTTGGACAAACTCACAAACTCGCGCAGCATTCGAGCGCGCAACTCCGGGACGCGGCGTAGCTATTGACAACGCCAAAATTGCACCGGAACATTAATTCAACATTCCGAGCGCGGTTTGGTGGTGGAAAACCGTGATAACGAAAAGACGCGTCACCGCCACCTGCCGGCCTGTGGCCCTTCCCTGTGGGATTTCACCCCCCCCTCTCTCTCTCTCTCTCGCAGGGTGCCCCGTAGGGGTGCGAGAGAGACAGAGCGACGATGCGCTGTGAGTCTTGAGTGACTTGCACTGTAGCCACACGTGCCCTGCCTAATTACAGTGCCGGCCACCCCTCGGGAGCCCCCCCCCCCTTCGCGGGGGTTTGTTGGTAGATTGGGAGGGAATGCCCTTCAGACGGGCAGCTCCCCCGGGGCCTGGCCGAGGGCCTGCACGGCCTGGCGGGTTGCCTACCCTGAGCTGCCCTGAGCCAGAGCGGCGCTGAGCGGCCGACAACGTCCGTCGTCAGCTCCTCGGCGTTCCTCGCAGCCCACACTGTAAACGCCGCGAACCTGGAAACGTCACGCGATGCACCGTCCACCACGCGGAACGCAGTGGGGGTGTGATTGTTGGCACGACTGGGTGTGCCAACCAACCGCACAGTGGGCCAGCCGGTGGAGGCGGTCAAAATCCCGAACGGGTTTCGAGCCCCAGAGTCGCTAATTAGGGTTAAAACCGAACGTGTGACCGCACCAATGGATTGCTCTCCGAACGAGGAATCCATTGGTGGGGTCACACGTTCGGTTCGAGAGCCATTTAGCGACTCTGGAGCTCAAACCGCGTCGAGAGTTTTGGCCGGCGGTGCCGGTCCTCTGGCCTTCGGCGTCCCCGCGGCCGCCTAGACGCGAAGACACGGACACGGCCCCTTACCCTGACAGGGCATAGTGGCCACTCAATCTCGCGGCCCCACAAAACAAGGAGGAAAATGGTGCACACGATATGGCAGAGGAAGTGGAAGTGGCGCCACGAGGCTCGCCGTCTCTCTCGCACCCCCAGAGCAGGCTGATTCCGAGAGTCGTTCTCGTCGCTCTGTCTCTCTCACACCCAAAGGGGCAGCCCCATGAGTGCGAGAGAGACAGAGCGACGAAAACGACTCTCAGTCTGCGGCAACCCGCTCGCCGCCGTGGCTGCGCCCAGCCGAGCGAGTCCGGAGGGTCGTCTCGTATCGCTCTGTCTCTCTCGCTCCCTCGCGGGACGCGCCGCGAGAGAGAGAGAGAGAGAGAGAGAGAGAGAGAGAGAGAGAGAGAGAGAGAGAGAGAGAGAGAGAGAGAGAGAGCCCTCGGCGCCGAATAACGGAAATGACACCACTTTGCTGTTCCCCGTGCTGTTCCGCGACGAGCAGCGCGAGCGATGACGAGTCGGGGCGTCGGGGGTTGGAGTGAGAGAGACCGCCGCGAGGCGCGAGAGAGGGAGAGAGAGAGGGAGAGGGAGGTTAGCCCCGGGCCGCGTCCGCCTGCTCGACACGCTACACCGTGAAAAATGCGGCGTCATGACACAAGAATGCACTCGGACTTCGCGGGTCGTTGCGGCGCGCCTTGGGCGCCTTGGGCCTTGTCTGCGTTGCCATTGGCCGTCCGGGACGAGAGAGACAGAGAGACTCTAGACGACACCCGTCCTCACGAGTCGAGTCCGACAGGCCGACGCACAGTGGGCCAGAAGACCGGTGGAGGCGGCCAAAACTCTAGACGCGTTTTGAGCTCCAGAGTCGCTAAATGGATCTCGAACCGAACGTGTGACCCCACCAATGGTTCCTCACTCGGAGAGCAATCCATTGGTGGGGTCACACGTTCGGTTCGAGTCCGATTCAGCGACTCTGGAGCTCAAAACGCGTCTTGAATCTTTGCCGCCTCCGCCGGTCTTCTGGCCCACTGCGCGACGCGCGCCAGGCGCCACAGGCCTTCCCCCCCTCCCCAAGCCTACCCCCCGGGGGCGGCGCGGGCCGCGGTCGCTCAAAGGCCTGCCTCTGCGCTGCCCGCTGCGCCTCCGCGAGCCTCGCGGTCCTAGAGCGTCTAGAACTGGCCGTGTAACTAGACCGCAACCAGGCAGCCACACAAGGGCCGTAGTTCCCCCCGTGTACTTTCTGCCTGCCTGCAGACTGATACCGAGAGTCCTTTTCGTCGCTCTGTCTCTCTCGCACCCACGGGGCGTCCTACGAGTGCGAGGGAGACAGAGCGACGAAAACGACTCTCGGAATCAACTCTGCTGGAAAGTTGCTGCTCGAGACGCGGTTCAAATTCTAGCCTGCCTTACAGTGCATCGTCGAAGGCGTTCTCCAGCATCGGTAAGCCGTGCTGTCAGTGTCTCTTGGTGAAACAGAGGCACGCCACGGCGGCAGGGCGGCACGGCGCTACAGGTAAACGCGAACAGCCCGCCTCATGCGCCGCCTGTCGCCCCCCACGAAACAATATCATTCTCATCACGGAATATCAGGCCGCCCGTCGCTCTGTCTCTCTCGCACTCTGGGGGCGTCCCTTGGGGGAGCGAGAGAGACAGAGGAAAGCCATCGCAATCTCGCGGAAAACGCAAGCGGGGCCGCCGAGCCGAGCTAGGTCGTTTCCGAACGCCATCCTAAGGGCGGGCTTGGCGTGATCCAAGTTTCGCCGGTAGCAGCGAGAGAGAGAGAGGGGGGGGGGCGAGAGACAGAGAGAGAGAGGAGGGGTTGCTGATGTGACCACGCGGTCGGTTCCACATTGATAAGGAAGCGGCGAAGGCTATGAATACTCGCCGGCACGGAAGCGACCTTGAGTCCTTGAAGGCCACCCGGGGGAAAGCCTGGGAAGGCCGGTGGTGGGCGGTGGCTTAGGTCAGCTCCGCGAAGGGCCGACTGACTTCACGTTCCTATCAACGAAAATGTTGGCCTCACTTCGAAAGAAACCCTCGAGTCTCTCGCTCTCTCTCTCTCTCTCTCTCTCTCTCGCACTCATGGGGCGACCCCTGCAGGTGCGAGAGAGATAGAGCGACGAGAACGACTCCACACCCACGCACTGACGCCCCCCTGGAGTGCTGCAGACTGATTCCGAGAGTCGCTTTCGTCGCTCTGTCTTTCTCGCACCCAAAGGAGGCACCCTTTGAGCACGAGAGAGACAGAGCGACGAAAACGACTCTCGGAATCAGTCTGCTGACGAAAATAATGACGGTTTTCTGACGCAGCACTGTAGGGGCCCCACACTCCATTGCCCTGCAGTGCAGTGGGGTCGGCCACGGCCACGGGGGTCAGCCCCAAGCCCTGCCGTGTATTTGTGTAGCGCCCTACTAGCGTACTTTCCCGACCGCGGTCGATCTGGCCAGGCTGCAGACTGATTCCGAGAGTCGTTTTCGTCGCTCTGTCTCGCTCGCACCCGTGGGGCGTGCCGTGTAGGTGCGGGTGAGAGAGAGGCAGAGCGACGAAAACGACTCAGTTTGCAGGGCACGGTTCGGCGGGGATGGCGGGCGTGGAAGGGGGGCCTTTGTACAGGTAGATTGACAGACTGAACAAGTCTAAAAATGAGTTATTTTTCCAACGGTTGCCCAAAGTGGAACTACGTTGATTGGAAGGCAGAAGATTCTTACAAAGATTTAGGGTCGGTGTTGAAAGACCATTATACAGGGGCACAAAAGAGAATACTCTTTTCATTGTTAGATAAGTCACTGGCTAATGTTGAATATTACTCAACAGGCCAACCGGCACAGGCAAGCAAAGTAAACCTATTGTTTTAGGGAAATACCAAAAATAGCTTTAGATAACGGCATGATTGAGAAACTCACCTCATCCAATTCATGAGCTTTCTTTTTATAGTGGTCAAGGCTTGATGTGGTTTGCAGTAGGTCTCCAAAGAGGGCTTCGACTAAAGGCAGGCATTCTATAGCAAGAGGCTGGCGGAACCCAAGTTCATCCAGCTGTGCTCGTAAACTGTGGTAACGTTGCTCCACGCCTTTCAACTTGCAGCAGCCACCATCCCCTGACATGGTGAAGGCGGGTTACTCCTGTAAATTTATACATAAGAATTTAGGTGACAGAAAACAAAATGCAAGCATGGGATGACACCATTCCCATCGGAGCCACTATAGCCATACAAGGAAATGACAGCCAAGTACTTATTTGGATACAAACAAAACATAAAAATAGTGACAAATCCCAACGTAAAGGAGAAAAGTTTTGGTTTAATATAAATGAAAGCACAGCAGACTCCTACACATTCGCAGTAATATAACCTCACACGATACTCAGATAACTGGCATTGAATGATTCGTGATAAGAATCTAAGCCAAAACAAGCCTTGGATAACAAACAAACATTTCACACTAGGTTAGGATGCCGGGACGGACCGCCCACCGCAACGGGTGAACGGAGCAACACGGCCAACACGGTTACCTTGCCAGCAGATTCACGAACGACTATCCACGATTGATTTTCCTCATTCCTTCCTTCATGTTCCCAAAAGAGAAAGCACGAACAGACTCTGTGTCTTTCTCCTCAGCTGTCACTTTGGCGTTTCAAATTTCAAACACCGTGCCCGGAGCTTCGAGTCCTTCGACTCGAGTTCGAGAGTATCGAAGAGCCATCGGCAGCGAAGCGTGACGTCATAACCGTCGCGCCTCGCGTCGCGCGCGCATACTCCGCGCACAGGTAGGCGAGGGGTATCGACGACCGTCATCGGCGCTACCCCGCGCGCTCCCTGAGGGAGGGGTCGGTGCTGCTGCAACATATTGGTGGCAAAAGTAGACACGATGCTCCAGTATCGAAAGGTTTACCAGCCTCATCGCTCTCGAGAATAGTTGCGCAGTAGACAGGCTGAGGTTGGCAACCCCTCCGACACTGGTGTAAGGCGGGAAGTTTTGTGCACTAGCGTAGCAACACTGATGAAGACGAGGGAGTTGCTGATGAAGCGGCAGCACAGTGAAGACCGGCGCAAACGGCCAAAATTCTAGACGCTACACAGAAAACAGGACTCAAACCGCGCTTGTGACCCCACCAATGGATTCCTCGTTCGGAGAGCAATCCATTGGAGGGGTCACACGTTCGGTTCGAGTCCCATTTACCGACTCTGGAGCTCAAAACGCGTCTGGAGATTTGACCGCCTCCACCCGCCAGTCTTCTGGCCCACTGTGCATCCCCAACTCAGATAGCAGCCTGAAAGGTAGGCAAAAGCCATACGTTGCCTCTGTAAGTAGGCAAAAAGTGATGCTTCCCCCCCCCCGGGCATCTGGATCCGCCACTGTCGGATTAGAAAGCGAGGAAGTGTTCGGGGCGCATGTGCATGTGGCTGCTGGCTGCCAATGGCTGCCATGCCCGCCTTCCGCGAGTCTGCGCCTTCCTTGATATCATTTCATTTTCCGCTCCTAAAAAGAATGTCCCCGCGGGCATCCGCGCATCGCCTGGCCTCGCCGCGCATTCCGGGACGCAACTTTTATCGCCGACGTGATTCGCGGAGAGGGAAATAATAAAAAGAGAGGAATCGAATGATAATATTGGCGGGAGTCTCCGCGCCGTTCGCACCTGCAGAGCGACTCCGCGGAGAGTCGTTTCCTCTCTCGCTCGCACCCGTACGGAGCGCAGTGGGCCAGAAGACCCTTGGAGTAATACCGGTGGAGGCGGCCAAAACTCTAGACGCGTTTTGAGCTCCAGAGTCGCTAACCAGGCCTAGAACCAAACGTGTGACCCCACCAATGGATCCCTCGTTCGGAGAGCAATCCATCGGTGGGGTCACACGTTCGATTCGAGTCCCATTTAGCGACTCTGGAGCTCAAAACACGTCTTGAATGTTTGCCGCCTCCGCCGGTCTTCTGGCCCACTGTGCGGAGCGCCCCGTGTGTGCGAGAGAGACGGCGACGCTCATATTCAGTCTTCCGGATGGAAGTTGGGTGCACTCGCCTTCGTTCCGCACTGGGAGCGTCGCCTCTGTAGACTGCTTGCGAGAGTCGTTCGCGTCGCTCTGTCTCTCTCGCACCCATGCGGGACACCCCGTGAGTGCGAGAGAGACAGAGCGACGAGAACGACTCTCGGAATCAGTCTGCTGCATTCCATCCCGCGACGTGTGAATTAAGTCCCGCTCGGCTTCCTTCTTCCATAGTGCCAGCCGAGCCGCGCGTCGCTCTGTCTCTCTCGCACTCGCGGGGTGGCCCGTATGGGTGCGAGAGAGACAGAGCGAGGGAACGGCGGCGGGGAAGCGCTCGCCCGGAAGACTGCCACCTGCGCACCGGATGTCGGAGCAGCCTCGCTGGGTGGAGATGGGGTCGGATTTAGATTGAGAAGTGACAAACCCGGACAAACCCGGCGGGGAAGAGGCGACAGCAGACCGATTCCGAGAGTCGTTTTTCGTCGCTCTGTCTCTCTCGCACCTATACGGGGCGCCCATGAGTGCGAGAGAGAAAGAGCGACGAAAACAAGGGCGCCGCACGGTGAAGGTGGCCGCCGGTGGCTGACGGACGTCGCCGAACGCGACTGCGGACAGGCAGGGGCAGAACGCCACATTCTTAAAATTAAATTCTGCCGATTTCTTTCACCGTCTCCCTCTTCGAGACAGAGCGACGACTTCCGGAGAGAGAGAGAGGGAGAGAGAGAGGGGGGAGAGAGAGAGAGAGAGAGAGAGAGAGAGAGAGAGAGAGAGAGAGAGAGAGAGAGAGAGGGAGAGAGAGAGAGAGCTGCTCTGCCTGCGGCCGCGCTTACGAACCGAGTTGGAGCGCGCTAGACGCGGCCACTCTTGTGGGAGAGAGAATACCGCCGTAAAGGGAGGGCCGGGAAGGGAGAGCCCTTTGCGTCCAGGCGGCGAGCCGAGGGGCTGGCGAAGGGCTGCCGAAGGGATGGTAGGCCGGCGCGGTTCAGGTTAGCCTAAAACGCCCTCCAAACCTCCAAACCCCTTCAGCCTCCAGCCCCGCGAGCAGCCAGCAGCCCGCCTGCGAGCCCATTCAGACCGCCGGCCCCGCCAGCCCTCCGATTGGCCATCAAGAAGCCAGCCAGGCGAAAAACGCGCCGGGCGGCCACGCTGCCAAGCCAACGCCAGCGCCGCCACCTGTAGACCGGGCACGCCAACCCGCGAAGAGAAAAAATCTTTCCGGTGGACGGTGAAGGCTGAATACCGCAGCACAGTGGGCCAGAGGACCGGCGCCGGCGGCTGAAACCCTAGACGCGTTTTGAGCTCCATAGTCGCTGTATGGGACTCGAACCGAACGTGTGACCCCACCAATGGACTGCTCTCCGAACGAGGAATCCATTGGTGGGGTCACACGCTCGGTTCGAGCCCTGTTTAGCGACTCTGGAGCTCGAAACGCGTCTAGAGGTTTGGCCGCCTCCACCGGTCTTCTGGCCCACTGTGCGCGGCCGCAAATAAACACGCGGCCACGTGGAGCGGCAAGGGAAGTGGAGTGAAGGGCCTCGGAAAATGGCAACACTGCGACATCAGCTGCCATCAGCATCAGCGCCCGTTCCCCCGAGGGTTCATTCCGAACAGTCGTCGCTCTGTCTCTCTCGCACTCGCGGGGCCAGTAGAGCCCCGTAACAGAGCCGTGGGCCACAGTGGGCCAGACGACCGGTGGAGGCGGCCAAAACTGTAGACACCGTTTTGAGCTTCAGAGTCGCTAAACAGGCCTCGAACCGATCGTGTGACCCCACCAATGGATTGCTTGCTCGGAGAGCAGTCCATTGGTGGGGTCACACGTTCGGTTCGAGTCCCATTTAGCGACTGTGGAGCTCAAAACGCGTCTAGAGTTTAGGCCGCCTCCACCGGTCTTCTGGCCCACTGTGTGGGCCACGCCCGTGGTGGGCGCGTTGGTAAAGACAGTGCTCTGTCTATCACGTCGGTCGGAAGTGGTCGCGAGTGAGGCGGACGGCGCACGGCGGATTCTGCCGGGAGATTTCGACGGGGCGTCCCTGTCGCACTCATGGGGCCGTCCGTAGGGGTGCGCGGGGGTGCGAGAGAGACAGAGAGACGTGAGCGTCCTGTTCGGAAGGACTCGGTTGGGGGTTCAGTTCAGTTACGCGCTTCTTGACGTCGGCGTGGCTGCAGACTGAGAGTCGTTTTCGTCGCTCTGTCTCTCTCGCACTCATACGCGTCCCCTGCAGGTGCGGGAGAGACAGAGCGACGAAAACGACTCTCGGAATGAGTCTGCTAGGCCGGTGGCGCCGCCTGCAGTCGTCCCGAGTCGTTCAGGTCCTGTCTGGAAGGGTGCCAAGCTCTGCAGGGGGCGGACAGGGCGGACAGCGACACCTGTCGCAAGGGGGGGGGGAAAGGGGGGGGGGGCGTCAGGGGCGCGTTCCTAAACCACGTGGTTAAAAATAAAGACCGAGTGCCCTTCGCATTGGGATCTTCGACTATTTCAATCCACCCTAAACAGAGCAGCGCGAGCGCGTGCACTGGGAAATGTGAGCCTTGCGACCATTTCCCAACGACTGTCGGGCTCTCTACCCTCAAAAATATTGTTGCAGTGAATATTGCCGGAGCGTACAGAGGAATTTATACAATCAACGCGATGAAGATTTGTTCATTTTACGAATCATTTTCGTTATTTCAAAGTGAGATGTTGAGGAAAATATTTATGTGACGAAGGAAAAAAGCTAGCTGACACCTTGAAAAGTCTTATATTGTTCTAGGTATGTTTTGAAGTAGGTGCAGGTACAAAGGTATCATCTGCTAAAATTAGTTTATAGTACATATGTTTCACCAATGATTTGAAAATGAAAAAAATAAATGGAGCCAATTTTCGTGGAGGGACATTTTGAGTGTAACGGTTAGAGTCCATAATTGGAGCCATTGCCTGGTTGGCCAGGTTCGGGGCTCGCCTGTGTACATCAGGCCAGTGAGTGGGGGCCCCGGGGGCGGGGGTGGGGGGGTGGTGGGGGGGGGGGGGTGGCTCTACGGTTGGGACCGAGTCTGTCAGGGAGGAGACGTCAAGTTTAGTTCGAGTTGAGCTGTGCAAAGTCCACTCGTCTGCGACCCGCTCCTTCCTGGTCGGCCTGGTCCCTCCAGTCAGGCTGCCACTTAACAACCCCCCACGGAGCCAAGCAACGAAATCCGAGAAATCAGACGGAATCAGTCGGGTCCTGAAGGCCGAAGCCGCAGCGACCCTAATGCCCCGCCTCTGGCGAGGGTTCGGGGTTCGATCCCCGCCAGGGTCTCCGTCTTTTTCCCGCCTTCGCCATCATTTCAGAGGCTGTCTACACGTGGCTCTTTTATTTCGCGTCCGCGTACATGTCAAGCTTTGCGTCTGAACACGATGCTGGCTTCATATTGCATGGAAGGAGGAAAGGGGGGGAGGGGGAAGGAGCAGAACGGGAGAAAGGGCGCCGTGGAGATCAGTCCATATTCACTGCGACAGAGCTCCGGCGCACAGTGGGCTAGAAGACTGGTGCAGGCGGCTAGAACTCCAGACGCGTTCTGGCCTCCAGAGTCGCTAAACAGGACTCGAACCGAACGTGTGACCCCACCAATGGATTGCTCTCCGAACGAGGAGTCCATTGGTGGGGTCACACGCTCGGTTCGGGTCCCATTTAGCGACTCTGGAGCTCAAAACGCGTCTAAGAGTTCTGGCCGCCTCCACCGGTCTTCTGGCCCACTGTGCGCC